AAGATAAAGAGCCTAGAGCCTAGAGCTACTCGTGTGCTCCCCCTGGGCCCTCAGGAACTCGGGCTCACCTTAGAGAACCAGGCCAGTGGATACCTTTCCCCCCCCCCCGGACTTGGAATGAGGAACCAGTTCAGGCCACAGAGGACCAGAGCAGTCTGAGACTGCCCACGAGTGAAGGTGGTTGCCCGAGGTGCCCCGCAAGAGGAAACAGTGGTCGTTTATAAAGCCTGTACTTCTCGCTGAGACCAAGGCATGGAAGGCTGAGTAATTCACCTGAGGCTGGGAAGGGACCAGGAAGTGAGACTGATGCCTAGTCTGCAGCCTGCACTCAAAGCTCCGCCTTTTGCTGCCTCTGGAGGACAGCAGGATGACAGAGAAGGCTTTGAGCAAGAAAAGTTGGTGGGGCTTAAGTTAACAGATAGAAAGGAGACATGCAGAAATCTCATCCTTTTCTTTTGGGGGCCACTATTATACTTAAAAGGAGTGAGGATTTTTTAGATATATTTTTATTGATTTCAGAGAGGAAGGGAGAGGGAGAAAGAGATAGAAGCATCAATGATGAGAGAAAATCTGCAGGCCCCCTCCTGGGGATTGAGCCTGCAACCCGGACATGTGCCCTGATGGGGAATTGAACCGTTACCTCCTGGTTCATAGGTCAATGCTTAACTAGTGAGCCACGCTGGCTGGGCTAGGGTGGGTATTTTTAATTTGGTACAGCTCAGGCCTGAAGAAACTTAAAGAAAAAACAATCAGCTTTGAATGAATTTCAGTGAAATTCTGAAAGCTCTTGCTCACTGAACTAATGTCATTATTTGAGGACCCTAAGACTCACCATCAACTATAATGAAATTTGAACAAATCTCTTTTAGGAAGAAAGTGACAGCTTATATAAAACGACATAGTGTGGGCATATGATAATAAGAGCTGACTCCTCTTAATGCTTACTATGGGGTTAGGCATTGTGCCTTGTAAGAACTCAGTAAGGTAGGTGTTTTTTATTGATCTCATTTTATAAGGGAGCAAACTGAAACTCAAGAGAAATTAAGCAACTCATCAAACAATATATCGGTACATTAGTTTTATGTATTACATAAAACATACATACATTGATTTTTTAAATATCTTTATTGGGATATAATTCACTTATGCAATTCACCCATTAAAGTGTATTCTTCAGGGTTTTTAGTATATTAATTGAGTTGTGCAATCATCACCACTCAAATTCCAGAACAATTGTATTACCCCCAAAAGAAACTCCATACCCCTTAGTTACTTCCCCACTTCTCCCAATCCCTTCAGCCCCAGGCAACCACTAATCTACTTGTTATCTCTATAGAATTGCCTGTTCTGGACATCTCATGTAAATGGAATTGTGCATGTGGCCTTTGTGTCTGGCTTCTTTAACGTAATTTAGCGTATTCTTCAGTGGTTTTTAGTATATTAATTGAGTTGTGCAATCATCACCACTGTCAAATTCCAGAACAATTTTATTACCCCCAAAAGAAACTCCATACCCCTTAGTTACTTCCCCATTTCTCCCAATCCCTTCAGCCCCGGGCAACCACTAATCTACTTGTTATCTCTATAGAATTGCCTGTTCTGGACATCTCATGTAAATTGAATTGTGCATGTGGCCTTTGTGTCTGGCTTCTTTAACGTAATTTAGCATGATGTTTTTGAGGTTCATCCACATTGTGGCATGTATCAGTACTTCATTCCTTTTTATATGGCTGAATAAAATCCCATTGTGTATATATATTTTGCTTATCCATTTACCATTTGACAGACCTTTGTTTTCCCCCCGGTAAATACCTACGAGAGGAATTGGGGTCATAGAGTCACTATGGTTAACTTTTTGAAGAACTGCCAGCTGTTTCTTCAAATTTTACATTCCCACCAGCAGTGTTTGAGGGTTCCATCCTTGTCTACACTTGTCATTGTCTGTCTTTTGATTGTAGCCATCCTAGTGGGTGCGAAGTGTGGTTTTAATAATTAATGAGGTTGAGCATCTTTCCATGTGCTTATTGGTCATTTGCATATCTTTGAAGAAATGTCTATCCAAATCCTTTGCCAGTTTAAATTGGGTTGTCTTTTTATTCTTGAGTAGTTCTCTATATATTCTGGATACTAGCCCCTTATCAGATACATAACTTGCACAATTTTTCTCCCAATTCTATGGGTTGTCTTTTTACTTTCTTTATGGTATCATCTATAATAATAAAAGCATAATATGCTAATTAGACCGGACAGCCAAACGACCTTCCAGACGACCTTCTGGAGGAAGCCAGGGCTGCGAGGGCCGAGCCCCCTGCACGAATTTTGTGCATAGGGCCTCTAGTTTGAAGTATAAAAGTTTTCCGTTTTGGTGTAGTGCAATTTATCTGTAGTTTTATCTATTACTAGAGGCCCTCTTTGGAGGCTGCAGTTAATGCATGCACAGCTAGCATCTCAAATCAAGACAAAGCACATTTTCTACGAAGTGTTATGGCACTTACCATTTTTATATTCCAAAGTCCTGTGGCAGCTTATTGTGTCCTTGGAAGGAAGGTCAGAGCTGTCTTTGGAAGGCAGGGCCCAGCCACTGAGAATGAGCTCCCACCAGAGAAACAGGCGCTTGGCTCTGGAGCCCCAATGCAGGTACCAGAAGGAGGTTATGTCTGTACCTGGAAGAAAACCCTCGAGGGGAAATGGACTGATGGTGCCTGCGTGTGTGTGTGTGTGTGTGTGTGTGTTTGTGTGTGTGCGCGCGTGTGTGTGTTCTTACATTTTTCTATAAATAAGTGCACATACACGCCTGACAGATCATGCACATTGTCTGCAGGACCCAAGGATGTTACTACTTCAGGCCAGTTGGAACTCAATACACAATAATGAGAATGGTGTTTTGGTGAGAATCCAACTGGAGAATATAATTTTATTCTGACCTAAATTCTCTTCTGCACTTTCCATTTTGCATAAATGCCTGTGCTTCCTGTTTTACACCTGAATGCTGATATGTGCTTAAGAAATCCCCTACATTTCTTAGGGTGGTTGTATTTCTGGAAAGCCGTATTTAGACTTAATTTGAGAGTGGTTCAGAACTTGAGGTTGTGCTCAATGATCTGAGGCCGGTAGCTGGCATTTATTTATTAGGCATTTAACTCTATAGAAAGAGGAACTCAGTAGCTATCATGTTTATTTATAGCCCCCAAATTCCTATTTCAACTGTGCCCGTATGCAAGCATTCGTTTTTCCATATATTGCCATAATTAATGTGTAAATAGTCTTCTGTTTTTGTACTTATGATCTCTCACACCCATTGCCACAGTTTTGTGTCATGTATCCAATTATATAAATGCCCGCGTTTACTTTACAGAATGTGGAGGCTGTGGACCCACGAGGTCGAACCTTATTGCACCTTGCTGTTTCTTTGGGACATTTGGAATCTGCTAGAGTCTTGCTCCGACATAAAGCAGATGTTACAAAAGAAAATCGCGAGGGATGGACAGGCAAGTATGCTTTTAAAATCTTTTAAAGCCTTTCATTTCAGTTTCTCTTTCTGACTAAAGGTCAATCTCAATCATCATTGTCCTCAGAGTCATCTTTATCTGAAGACTCATTCTCTCTCAGGCCTAGGGACTGGGGCAAAGAGATAGGAGCCGCGGATGCTGCTGGTTGATCTACAGCACGGTGGCCCCAATCATGTCCTGGGCCCAAAACTCTGATTAGAGGGGACTCCTCATTAGAAAGCAGCTCTCAGTGCAAACCCTTCCCACCATGCACAAGAGTGGAGGCCAGATTTCCCCGAGGAATGTGATGGGAACTACAATGAATCCATCAGGATAAGCAAAACCAAAAAGGAATTATGGCTTTTAAAAGTGGCCTTTTCCAGTGAAATCCTGGCACTTTACTGCATGTGTGTGTGTGCATGTGTGTGTGTACAAATTCTCTTATTATTGGTTAGGGTAATCTTATGTTGGCTGAGCCAGGAAATATACAAGCAGAACCCTGCTTGCCTGATCTACATGTAACCGTAGTTGTGTGATCACGTAGTGAAAGCCAGCTTTCTGAAGACATTGTCAGGATTCCATGACCAGTGGTAACCAAGGGGGAGAAGGGGAGGATGGATTTGACGAAGGAGGATGAAGGTTTGAGCAAGAAGCTAAAAGTGCTCTATTTTCTTCTCCTTTTACCTATTTACAAGCTAGCAATAAGAAGTCGTGGTCATAAATGATAACGTGGGACTACAGCCTCTCCTCTCCAGGAAGAATGTGTTGGTCTTTGATCTGTATAGATATTTTCCAGACTGGCTGTGGAATTTGTCAGAAAGTGGGAGAATACTGGGCCATTGAGTTTTACCTTTTTGTTTTCCAGTTTTACACGAGGCTGTGAGCACTGGTGACCCTGAGATGGTGTACACAGTTCTTCAACATCGAGACTACCACAACACGTCCATGGCCCTCGAAGGAGTTCCTGAGCTGCTCCAAAAGATTCTCGAGGTATTCGTAAAAAAATGGCATTGCCACCATTGGGTTAATGCTGACAGGACAGCAGGGGACACAGCCTGACGACCTGTTGGGCGCCTTCCCGAAGAGCTTTGTGAGTCGTGAATACAATGTACTGGGTGCTTAGAGCATGTTCCCTGCCTTTCCTGCTTGTGAAATGTGTGGGATCGTCCACAAGTTATGTTTCTAGACTTGCCCTATAAAGTGCTATTTAAAAAGTAGAACTAAGACACATGGACATCAAGCACTTAATCTGTCTAGATGCCTGATTTCTTAAAAGTTGCACCCTGAGCATCTTGGGGAGATTGTGTTGGGCATTGGTGACTGGACGGGGATTGTCAGGGTCTCTTGAGGGTCAGAGGTCTGCGTGTATCTTCTCCTTGTCACTCCTGTTCCTTCTAGCCATTCGTATTCTGCGGCTTCTAATTCATTGCCTTCTTTGATGTACACTTTTTGGCTTTGGGGAAGTTTACCTGTCTTTGTGAATTAAAGTGCATGGGCTCTTTGACACTTAGAGAAGTTTCTTAAACAGTTTTACTTCTAGGGTCCTGGATTGTTTTGGATGATGGTTGCCATTCTACAGATAATCTTTGTTACCTGCAGAAACCATCTTATCAGTCAACCATGTGCAGTATTCCCAGGGCAGCAGGAGACGAGAAAGTACCAGTGGTTCAATTTTCATGCCATTTATTCTCAAGTTAAGCACAGAAGTGAGCTCCCCAAAACATCTCCAACGATATTTGTGGATAAATTGGCTTTACGATGTTAGTCAAAACACATTTCTTGAGAAAAATGAACAGTTCTGTGGAGAAAAGGAACAATTTTGCCAGAAGTTAGACAATCACTGCTCATTATCTGAACACGCTTTCAAGAAATATTTCTATGACATGCAAAGTAAATGCTGCCTAAGATATTAATTTTCCATGGACTGCCAAGAAACCTTCCATGACATATGAAATAGTTATATGCATTGTTTTTAAAATAGGTGTGCGTTTGTACAACGATCACATGGATTTATCGTTCTCTTATCTAACTTACTGCAGGAGGAACTAAAAACATCACTTCTCCATTTGACAAAACAGAAAATGACTTACTTAACATGGAGTCACCCTCATTTTAAAAATTCAAGTAAAGGCTTTTTCTTTTTTAAAACCTGTTATTGATCCATAATAGTGAGCTGCATTGCATTATATTCCCTGCTGGAAGGTATAGACCGCCCATAGCTGACCTTGTGCTTATTGGCACCAGAGGCTGTTGGTGATGTTTTGTCTCATAACACACGCCTTTCTTGCCGCTGCCCTGGAGAGGGTCGCTGCCCATCACTGGAATTCTGGCTGGTCTTAAACCAGGGTAGATTCTTGGTCTTCCTGCCCTGTGCTTCTGTAAAAACCTGGCAGAACTTGGGAGGTGGGAGGGAACAGAAAAACACCTGGACTTTCTCGCATTTCTCTTCTTGGATGGTAACTGGAAATTAAGTAGGGTGGTACTTAAGAAATTAAGGCGCTCTCCACGAACCTGGTAGCTCAGAAAAGCATCTTAAACAGGGCGGCTGTGGTGGTGTAAAACTTCAAAAAGCCACAGTCTAAGAGTTGAAGAGGAAGGTGGGGGCAAAAGTCTTTTGTTAACTGGAGGGGAATATGACTTCTTGGGGAAGTGATGTCCAGCTGCCTCTTTTTAGTTTCAGTGTGGTCCGTTAATGTGAAGCCTTTTCCAGAACACAGAGCCTTTCGCAGTCAGGTTCCCAGCCTGATAGATGGAACTGACCTTCCCCTCTCTGCTTGGAACAGCCTGTTTCGAACACTGCCTGGCGGTGCTTACCCATCCTCCCAGGCTCCTCCTTACGTTACTGTTATGAACCAGATTGAGCCCCTCAATCAGATTTGACTTTTATCCCCCTCCAACCTTACTGCTTTCAGTTAACTTTATTAACTGTCTAGACATTTTATATCAAGAATAAATCACAGCCTGAATGTAAAATAAGCATTTATTTTGATGGGTTAGCATTTTGTGTTTCTTATTTTCTCTGTTCTCTCCCCCTACCCCACTTTAAAAAGCCCTATTAACCCTTCCTGTGCGTGTGTTTAGTTAATAGCACCAAGGGTAATTTCTTTTCAACCTTTGTCCTTCAGACTCCAGATTTCTATGTGCAGATGAAATGGGAATTCACCAGCTGGGGTGAGTGGCTGTGGGCTTGTGATTTATTTCTGTTTCCAACTTTATTTAGCCTGAATATTGGTTTATTTTTCCTGTATAAAAGTTACGTGTATTTTGTTTAATCTATAAAATGCATAGATAAGAATTAGGAAAAATAGTCACCTCTAATCCCACTTCAGCACCACTAGTGTTAGTGCTTTGGGCGTTTTCTTTCTAGTCTTTTCCCCACTCGTAGGACTTTTTCTCCCAAGCATCCATAAATATAACATACAGACAGTTTTGTCTCCTTTGTCATTTCCAGTTGACATTGATCCACATTATTAGTTCTTTAAAAGGCTAATATTTTAGTAAGACTTACCATAATTTAGTTACTTCCTTATGTGGTTTAGCTTGATTCTTTTAAACTTGTTATTCTGAGGAAGAAGATGAGATGAACATTGGAGTAGCTTGTTTTTTACAAAATGGATGTATTTTTCTCCAAAATCTTATGTAAGGCAAATTGACAGACAGTAATTTTCATAGATGTTCTACTTTTATTTCTAGTTGATCAGTTAATGACAGCTCCTAATTCCCAGTTTTCAGCCATTTTCACTTCCAGACTTCCCTTTCAGGCAAGACGTCATATTTATAATGAAACATTGAAATGGAGTAAAAAGTATATAAAAGAAGAGAACTTCAGATTCTTCTGTGAAACAAATGAGTTTTCCCTAATGCAAATATTCACTCTGATTTCAGGTTTTGTTAAAAAGCAGCACATTTTAGACATTTGATCATTTGAATGGTGGATCTGACAATATGGTAGACGCAGCCATATGGCAAAAGTAGCATATGTGAACGCGAAAGGCCAGATGGACACACTCGAGCTCTGATGGCAGCCAAGGAGAGGAGCTCACTTTGGCATTGAGCATACTCTTAAGGAATTCATTTAGAGCTTTCTCCAGACAAGACATAGATCTGCACTTTTATAAAGGGCTATAAAACAGAAGGTCCTTTTTTATTTTTTATTATTATTATTTTTTAAAATATATTTTTATTGATTTCAGAGAGGAAGGGAGAGGGAGAGAGAAATAGAAACATCAATGATGGGAAAGAATCATTGACAGGCTGCCTTCTGCACACCCCACACTGGGGATCGAGCCCGCAGCCCAGACATGTGCCCTGACTGGGAATCGAACCCATGACCTCCTGGTTCATAGGTCAATGCTCAACCACTGAGCCATGCCAGCTGGGCCACCTTTATTTTTTAAGAGTGACTTCTTGTATCACGTCCAGCCAGGTCCAGCTCTATGTGACAGTCACCATCTTTCTATTCCTATCCTTTCATTAAAATCAGAATCCTGATTTCTGGGTGTTCTACTTGGCCGTCAGGTTTTTCTCAGTAATATACTTCTCTTCTTCAGTGCCCTTGGTTTCCAGAATATGCCCAAATGATGTCTGTCGCATTTGGAAAAGTGGTGCCAAACTGCGTGTTGATATCACATTGCTGGGATTTGAGAACATGAGCTGGATAAGAGGGAGGCGTAGTTTCATATTTAAGGGAGAAGGTGAGTGATTTCATTGTAGTAATCACTGCTCATGCTAAGTTATAGAGTGATTTTTAACCATGAAACACATTCACATTCATGTGCCTTATCTGATCCTTTCTGGGCATTTTTTTGTTGTTCTTTTTTAAATTACGTTCTTATTTATTTTTAGAGAGAGAGGAAGGGAGAGGGAGAAAAGAGAGAGGTAGAAACATCAGTGAGAGAGAAACATCGATTGACCGCCTCCTGCATGCCTTCTACTGGGGATTGAGCCCGCAACCCGGGCATGTGCCCTAACTCAGAATTGAACCCAGCCTTCTTGGTTCATGGATCAATGCTCAATCACTGAGCCACATCGGCGGGCTTGTCGTTCTTTTAATTATTCACCTCTCAGTTCCTGTATCTTATTTGTTATCTGTATAATTCTCTTGTGTGTATTATTTACCACCCAACATCTCTTATGTCCCTGAGCTTTTGAATACAAGCCTCTGTCTTGTATCTCATTCATCATATTCCCTCCATAAATGGCATGGCTTATCCAATGTTGTGCATAAATAATGTATATTTTGTAATCATATATTTTAAAAAAGTACACAGATAAATGTGTTGCTAACAAAGAATGCAAATTATTTTAAAAGTCTGCATCTCTGGGGAAGATGGCTCAAAGATGCAGACTTGGAAAGATGATGCATTTTAACATGTGAGGTTTTCTTGTTTTTGCATCTTACTTGCATTGTACTTAGTTATGCCCTGTTTCCATTAACAGACAACTGGGCGGAGTTGATGGAAGTCAACCATGATGACAAAGTGGTCACCACTGAACACTTTGATCTTTCCCAGGAAATGGAGCGCCTCACTCTGGACTTGATGAAGCCAACAGGCAGGGAGGTTGAAAGGCGGCTCACGAGCCCAGTCATTAACACCAGCCTCGATACTAAAAATATTGCTTTTGAAAGGTATGAATTTGGGCTCTGCATTTTAATTTCTCCTCCCTTTACTGCCATCTTTAGTGGCATGTATGTATTGATTGGAAATTATGGGTGGACTGGGATTTTTTTTCTAATATGCCAGTTTAAGCACTAGCGTTTTAAAGTTAATCTCTGCTCTCACCAAATGTAAACCATTACTGACATCCTTCATCATACACCATTTTTATAGCACATTGGTTAAGTCTTGGATAAATGTCTTCCTGTTCTTTCATGGGCCCTTTTAATGGATTTTACTTGAATTTTATTTTTGTTTTGGTGTTTGGGGATCCACAAGACTCCCTAGTCCCCGACCATGGGACTTTGAGTTTCTGGAAGCTATTGAATGTGGTTACACTGATATTAGTCAAATTCACACCTTTCATATAGTTAAATGTGGTTCTCTCTCCCCGGTTTCCCTACGGTGAGGCCTAATAGTTTAGAGCAAGAGTCTGGAGGGGTTTCAGTTCTATTGCAGACTCTACCTGAAGAAACCTCAGAGAGGTCTGTCTCAGTTACCCCAGATGAGAACCTCGTGTCTGCTCATCTGCCTCTGGGCTGTGCAGAGGTGTGGGGGCCTTTGTAAGGGAAGTGGATGTAGTCACTGCTGTGCATCGGGGCGGGGGCGGGGGGGTGTCTGGAAGAGCCCCGAGTGTTTGCCTAGGATGTCACATCCCGCTCTCTGTAAACCAAAGCAGCATAACATGAGCTAATATGAACATTATCCTGGATTTAAGTTTCCTTTGCTCTTCACACATATACTAACAATCCTATCTTTTTCTTTTCTTCATTTCCAATATAAAATGTATTAACAAACCTGAGTTTTCTGTTGAGTCATGTAGAAGACTTGTTCAGTGCCCTTTTCTTTTAGTTTAGATCGAGCTGTGGAATGAGGGTATTTGCTTGTGGCAGAAGAGAAAACCCAAACACCAGGTGTGCTGCTGCTTGGGCGGGGTCAGTGCCGCACCGTCAGCCTCCCCAAGTGACGGCCATTGTCTTCCAGGGACAGCAGGTGACCATGCCTTTACCAGTAAGGATATGGGAAGACTCTGCAGTCTTGGGCACATGCCTCTGCAGACAGTTAGCCTAGGGCTCTGTCCCTAAAGCTAGAAGACAGAGGACCCTGCCCTCACTGCCGTCTCCCAGCAGTAGTGACAAGAGCTGGAAGAACTGACCCTCATCACAGGGCCACTAGCTAACTGTGCGGCTTGGGCAGGTGGCTTCATCTCTCCAGGATTCTGTTTGCTCGGCTGCTTTATTTTGTGGTGACCAGTGAGCATCTTGTGCATCGAGTAAGGATTTGAGGCACTCTTGAGTGAGGTTTGCTACTGGAGGTATGAGTGTTCATTTGATTGAAGTTGGAAGATGTGGATCTCTAATATTATAATAGTCGTTTTCATCCATTTCTTTTTTCTAATCTTGCTTGGGGCTTGATGCTTGTAAATCAGTGCCCTTCTTGCGTAAATTTTTGGCCTAACATATACCCTCTGATCACATTTTGGGTTTTTCTCTTCTCTGAAAGATTATGCTCAACTCATCCTAAACAAAGTATTTCCTGCCACCACCATGGCTTTTCTCCCATTGGGTAGCAGCCTCCGAGCCAGTGGTTGCTCCAAGCCAGTGGCCTTTGGGATGGTGGTCTCAGTGGCAAATGAGGGAGCTGAGATCTCTCATATCATCTTCATATGCCTCTGCATGTAAAGTTAAGTGCCAAGGAGTTATTAGAGTCTTGGTTTTGAACTAGGATGTATACATTGAATTTAGTAACTAAACTGTCAGAGGACTGACTTCCAGTCAAGAGGGCAGATTAGTGGCGGATTTTGTGAAGGAATTGGTGATGGATTAGTGGATGTTGCTATCTGCAGATTACCCCAAAGAAGATGCCTCTATTGGATGGAATTCAGTCTCACATCATTATTGAAGAAATACCAAAATAAGTTCTTTAATTTTAAAAAAATATATTTATTTTTATTGATTTCAGAGAGGAAGGGAGAGGGAGAGAGCGACAGACACATCAACGATGAGAGAGAATCATTGATGAGCTGCCTCCCACATGCCCCTTATTGGGGACTGAGCCCACACCCGGGCATGTGCCCCGACTAGGAATCGAACCGTGACTTCCTGGTTCATAAGTCAATGCTCAACCCTGAGCCATACTGGCTGGGCAATAAGTTCTTTAATTTCTAAAAGACAAAACGAAACCATCAGAGAGTGAAGATGAAAAAGGAAATGGAATAGTCAGGGTTGTGGCTGAGGGAGGTGAGTGAGGAGCACGGTGGTTCCCAGGGAGAACAGTGCAGCTGTTTGCTTAGCACACGTGAAGGACGAAGTGGAGTGACCTGGTCATCCTTCGGTCCTTCGGACGACTCTGTGCCAGGAAAGGAATATTTCCTGTGCTGAACTGTCAAGTGACTTAGTGACAGACAGGAACTGAGGATTGAATTTGTTAACCAAAAGGAGTATCTCGATTTTCAGTTATCAATGACTAAGAG